CAGAGACACTGACATTAAAGAACGTTTATCCATCAATAGGCAAGGTGAGAGAGACGACTGAAGTAAAAAACAAAAACAAAAACAAATAACGAGTTCAGATTTCTACTGGTAGCTGGACAAAACTATCTGTAACATAAGATCAAGAAATAGACTGAAAATATGTTTTTTTTTTACAACAAAAGTGATTATAAAATGTATCATTTAAACATTTATTATATTTTTTTATGAAATTAAACTCAATTTTGACCCCTCTATACCAAAGACGCCGATAAAAAACAAAACAAAAAAACAAACAAACAAACAAACAGGCCAGCTATCATGGAAGTATAAGATAAGACAGCAGCTGCTGGAGTATTTCGAGGCGGTAAAGAATAGTTTCAGGATGTAGTGGGTGAAGTAAGTGTTCGGGGATGAAGATGATGACGAACATCACACATTTTTTCACACGGTGATGGCGGCCTTCGCGATGCCGCTGTCGCTGTGGCTGATGTCCGCCGACCTCTTGTTTTTGCTCCTCAGCGCGTGCCCCCCCTCGATGCGGCGGCGGCGCGTCAGGTAGCGGCTGAAGTGGAACTCTTTCTCCAGCTCGAGCACCTGCTGCCGGGTGTAGGCCGTCCGCAAGCGCTTCGGCTCCGGTCCCAGGTGGTTGGGATTAACTGTAATGGCACAGCCATAAAACACATGAATACACTACTCCAAGGCAAATAAAAAACAAAAGAACATTGCAATAAAATGATACAAAAACGCTATTATAGTTTATTTGGATAATAAAATTAGTCATTAATTATAATTTTTAAAGGTTGATTCCAAATATATAAAAAGTTAAATTTCTGTTTCTTCACAGCGCCCGATGCTGTCTGGAATATATTTTCAATTCAAGACAGCATTTTTTTTTTTACTGGTACAATTTTATTTAAACACACACATACGCACATCCTTTTCAATTTAAAATTCCTATTCCAATCCTCGCCTAACCGCAGGGACTTAACACCAAATTAAAAAAAAAAAAAAAAAAAGCCGCCTCATAGCTAGACTTCAAGATTCAATCATTAGATTTTGCACCATTTGGGAGCAATCGTCGGGACAGATGGTCCGTGGTAATAACAGAAAAGCTCCCGAAGAGCCCCCCCCCCCCCAAAAAAAAAACCAGTGTCTACAAACGCGCACGGACGGCGTGACAAGGCTGTAAAACTTTATGGGGGCCATAATTCTTACTGGCTCGCACTTAGGTCGTAAATAACTAGACAAAATGTGTGCTCACAGATGGACAAATCAATTGGACAGAAAGAGAGAAAGAAAGAGAGAGAGAAAAGAAAGATTACGTTACGTTACGTTACGTTGCGTTACCTTGAGCGATGTGCACCTTCTTCATCCACGGGTAGACAACAAACGGCGGCTTGTCCTTGCTCTGGCACGCCGCTCTCCTCTGCACCTGAACGGGCTTGTTGTTGGCACCGCTGCAGGTCATCCAGGCCTGGCACCGCAGCTCAGGGTGCAGGGAGAACCTGTCCTTGCTGCCGGGATCCTGCGCGTCCCCGTACCCGAAGAAGGACTCCGCGTCATTTTGTTGTTGCTGAGGCTGTTGATTTCCGAGTTTGTCTCCGTCCTCCGGGTGATGATGCGCCTGCAAAGAGTGCGGATAGTCGCTTTGTTGTGGTATATTTGGTGGCGCCGGGGGCTGCAGGGGCTGGTGATACCCCCCTTCATAACTACCGCAGTCCTGGGGGTTGTTGTTGTGGTTGTTGTTGTTGTAATACCCCCCCTGGTTAGTAAAATTACTGTAATCTTCTTCACAAGGCAGGAACTGCGACTCAGCATATTTACAGCTCATCACGTAGGACTCCATGATTGATTTATAGCGAGACTGGTAGCAGAATACTAATCTCTCTCTCTCTCCCTCTCTCTCTCTCTCACTCACTCTCTCTCTCTCTCTCCCTCCCTCCCTCTCTCCCTTCTTTCTCTCTCTTTTCCTATGTGTGAGTCTTGTTTCCCCCCTCTGGCACTGAGCCATCCTGGGGCTGTCAAATAGACGGAGTGCCGTGCAGGCCACGTGACCCTGGTGCCAGCCAATGAGATACGGAATAGGGTTGTTTAAGTCAAGCATCAATTAAGTCATTTTGGGGGGGGGAAATAAAATTGGAGTTCAATTTTAAAATGATCCTGCATTGGGAAATTATTTTTATTGTTATTATTTTTTTTTTATTATTATTAAATATATGTTTTATGTGGATTTGATGATTGTAGAGGAGACTCTATTTCATCCCATCCCCTATTGTGGCGACCACCCTCCCCACTCCGGT